CGGATCCCCCCTCCCCCCCCCCCCCCAACCCCATCAATGTTTCTGTAGGAGCCTAAAAACTGCTGCTTAGATGGTGATGAACTTTTACCCCAATTAAAAAATAAAAAATAAATAAATAAATAAAAAGGTAAGAAGGAGAAATGAATAATACTATTTGCAGTCACTCACACTGTTGCAATCATCCTATGTTGTATATATGTGACAATTAGTGATTTGATATATGATGTAAGAAAAAATTATCATATTAATACATCAAATCACAAATTAGCATGTATGATACCACGTAGAGCGACTACTGCATTGAACAATTATGAATAGCATTACTCCAAAAAATAAAAATAAAAAAATGACCTAGATCTCAGGCACCAAAAATCCTATAAGCTCATCTGTTTCCTTTTTGAAGCCGCCACATGTTGTTCGATTATAAACATACTTCCTGCTAATTTGATTTCTGAGGCCTCTTATGAATGCAAAAATGTGAATGGTTTACCAACTTCTGCAATTATGCATAATGGCAATAATTTTATTTTCCAAGTCTAGAGAAAACACATCCATATTCGATGCATTAAATGTTTGGCGTTACAATCTCATTATGCAAGCTAAGTGTATAGACTATAATGAGACTCTATCCCCAGTTGAAAATGAAATACTTCACATTTATACCAGTTGAAATAGTTGTAAACAAAACCAATATTTTTTTCCCACTGTTGAGAAGAATTTTAGAAGAAGCTCTATGAATAGTGCACCTGAATTTCCAAGAGGCAGTAATCTTTCTCCCAGAAACTATCTGAAATATCATATCCAACTAAGCAACACGAGATCTAAAAGCATGAATTCTCTGAAATTCAGCTGACAGTGGAGCCATTAAAACTCCAAACTTTCGATTGCCTAGTTTTTGGTTACAAAACTCAGTTAATTTAAACAAAACGCAATTGAAACTTCTACACCAACTCCACTCACTCGTATAGCTACAGACATGTATCAATGATCAATCCGCATCCCTTGATTTACACTCAACTATAAAATTTCAAATTAAATGAAAAAAATAAATATATGAACTCGAAAATTATAGCTCCGATTTTTCCACTAATAAACTAAATCACTTTTCAAATTAAATTCAAGAAGGTTTAGGTTCAAACCTTGGTGCCTCGCTGGCGAACGATAATGGCGCCAGGCTTCGCGACTTGGTCGCCATAGATTTTTACTCCAAGCCTTTGGCCTGGCGAATCCCGCCCATTCTTAGTGCTTCCAGCTCCTTTCTTGTGCGCCGACTCAATCGTCAGCGGCGACTTAACCGGAAACCGGACTGAGACTTTCTGCCCAACGTGAATCGAACTAAAATCTCCCCGCAAAAAAGACGAAGACGAACCGGAACCGATTGACAGTCCTTTGAATGCTCCTACCAAACTGAAACTCATACTCGCCACCGCCATTAAAATTACCCTGCAAAGTGAAATTACGCAAAAAGCATTAGAATTTTGATTGATGTGTTTGTCTATGCCATGATAAGGTTAGGGTTTTTAGTTTGTGGTTCTTACTGTTGACTGTTGTGAGATGGAGAGAGAGGGGAAGAATGAAATTGCGAATCTAAAGTCGTTACCGCTTTGGCTTATCCATGGAGTTTGTGAGCTCGTCGTAGCAGATAATTTCTAAACATGAAGAAAAATATATAAATGTTGAGAGTGGGATTTGAACCCACGCCCTTTCGGACCAGAACCTTAATCTGGCGCCTTAGACCAACTCGGCCATCTCAACAACTAATAACTTTACTTTCAATTATTGTATTATATCTAATTTTCAACGTGTCACTCTATCACCATCCCCTGCCGTCTGCAAGCTAAAGATTTTACTCACGTGGCAAATATATAATATCAACTTTGTATACCTCGATTTTTTATTATTGTTTCTAGAACAACTTTTAGCACGTCTTGGACCGATTAAATTGGAATTAAAAGCAAAATTATGGCCACTCATGACGTGGCAGCGTTGGTGAAGTAAGTGAACGCGGAGGCCTTTGATTACGAGTTCGATTTTTCCTACCAACACTTTCTTGAACAAGTCTGTTACATAAGACTTGCCTAGTACAATTTACCTGGTTGACGTGGTTTGCAGGCTATTACGTTAGCTTGAGAATTTACCCAATGCACACTCGAAGGGGCTCGACTGTGGGTTTCCCCGTCATAAATAAAAATAAAAATAAAGCAAAATTATAAACATTGAACAAAATAAATATCATTTTTTTTATGGGAAAATTGTAGTAGAGACTCCAAACCTTTAAAATATAAGCAGACTTTCTTCAAACCTTTAATTTGTTACAACCGTCACCCCAAACCTTACGAAACGTTGCAATGAAGGCTCTTTTTGACGATTTTCATCCAAATTATCATCCAAATTAACTCTTAATTTATTACATTAAAATAAGTTAGAAATTGAATTATAAAAAACAAGAAATAAGAAATTTAAAAAAAAAAAAAAAAAAAAAAAAAAAAAAAAAAAGAAGAAGAAGAAGAAGAGGCCAGTCGTCTTCTTCCTTCCTCCCACCCCTCTCCCCACCCACTCCTCAGTCTCACGCTATCAGAAGCCTTCCCCAACGATCGTCGTATTGTTTCCTCCCAGGTTGGCTCTATTTTCCTCATTAACACTATCACCCGCATTAAAGTTAATTTCCCAGCATCTTCAACTATCCCAAATGTCTTAAATTTCGATTTATGCAGCATAGGTCGTG